CCTATTGCCTGTGTCCTAGTCGTTTGTGTCGCTCTCTTCGTCTTCAAAATCTAATGCATCATTCACGTTGCGCTCTCCCATTGGAGTTTTTATTATGTTCGAATGGCAAAAAATTGCATTTTTTAATTATTCTACCAGCCTGTAATTTGTAATTCCTTAAGCAACGTCCGCATGAGTCAGCAGCTAAGCCAAGTAATATACCCTTAGGCCTTGCTTTCTAGTTTTCCAGGTTTAATAATATCGTGAAAGGTGACCTTCGTGTCACATATAAACATTTTAGTTAAATCGGGTTTACTGCCATATAAAGTTATCAAGCATGAGATGTCTGGTTAACTATTATAGCGGCGTGACTCATTGCTTCTGTCCAAAAAGTTATCACGTTAACTATACCAATGTGGACGCTTACAGTTAAAGTCTCCTCCCAGCAGTGTCGGTTTGGTCCAATTACATTGTTTAAATCTATCTGATGCAGGTCATACCTGGAGGTTTTAAGCTGAGACAATTTTGTTAAGGCCATTATTCTGCAGGTGTAGTCATAACTCTAGTTTCCATGTCTGGTTTCAAATTCAATTAATAAGTGGGGGATGTTACATTATAATTGGGTATGAGTATTTGTTTACATCCTAAGAGGGGGCTCAAAGATTCAAAGTATATTTATACTTAGTCGCGTTATTAACGCATAGGGCATCTTCTAACGAACTCCATAAACATTCCAAGATGATAATCTAAGTTTTCTAATAGCTTTTTCATTCATCGGTGGAGCTAAAGTTATTAAAAAAAATGTCATTAAAGGCTTTAGCGACTAGGGTGCTAATGGCTTCTAAGAGTACACGCGCGTATGAACGCCCTATCGAAATGGGTTCCTCCACGGCTTAATAGAAATTTCCTCTTCCTGATAGGCGCATTCTCAGGGGGAAAAAATACAGGCACGATAATTGGCGGTGCGTATCACCACAAATAGTGCATTTAGGGGGCTGGTCTCTTTCCTTTGTGCGAAACTTGGTGTCATGATACTCGCCACATTTTGCACATATGAACATTGAAGTGCAGAACTGATTACTATGTCTGTATAACTGGCACCAAAAGCACTAATTAATTCTCCCCGTTTTCTTTAAAGGTTCTATAGTAACGAAAAAATAAATCCTAATTTCTGGTACATAAATCCTTTACGATTCTGACTTAGGAAGTTTTACAAGTACAAGAAACAACGGAGTTCTTTTTTCAATCAAAAATTCGCATTCTTATTACTTCGCTTGGAGTGTATTCTTGATTTTCTAGTTCTTTTTTAATATCTATAAGGTTCATTTCAATGAAGAAACCTCGAAATAGAACTTTAAGTTCTTTTAAAGTAGTCGCAAGAGGTCTAACAGATCAGTAAATTTTTTTTTTAGTTTTCTAAATTTTCAAATTAGATAGAATTTAAAGTTTAGTGTAACCTGTATTCTAATGTCTCAATAAATAACATGTTCAAAAATTTACGGTATGTTTTATTTAATATAAAAGTAAAAAATTTAAAATTCAAGAGGTCTGAGAGACCTACTGCGACTACTAATATCTAAATAAGAGGGCGACAGGTGTAGAGTTAAGGAGGGTAGGCGATAAGTGAAGTATTGTTTATTGTTTGGAATTTATTCACTTCACAGCAAGGCTTTAAAAAATGAATTATTGAGGGTAACTATATATTGTTTATTAAGTACCTTTTATAATCTATTGCTACAATATGTACGGTACATATATATATTTCTGTTAGTACTCTTGGGTGGAACCTCACTTTCTGCTCTTTTTTCCCTTCTCTCTTTTCAATTTTTACCGCGTCTTTAGTGTTTTAGTTTACGTTGGCCTAGAGGACCAGCGATATTAGAAAGATTACCTTTTTAGTCCAGAGGGCGTTATAGCTGAATTTATTAAATAGCTTAGTACCTAGAGGACAACTAAGTTAATGCTAAGTTAAGTAGTTTTATTAAATATTTTAAACAGATCTAGAAACTTTATTTAAACAATTATAGCCCTGGTTAAGTGAACTTACCAGCCTTAGAAAATCTATTTTTGAAAAAAGCCAAACCCTGAATCCTCGGACTACATCTTTTGCAACAGTAGAAATACTGATATATTTTTTTTAATTATGATATTTGTCTTTCACTTTTATTTCTTATAGTAATAGGAGGTATCCTAGGGATTCCCTTATAATTATTACTTGTATTTTTAAAGTTAATTTTACAACTACAAAGGTTACTACTGCTATTATCACTATTACTGCTTTTATCATTACTATCCTCATAAGCACCACTATTACTGTCGTTATGTGTTATTACTTTTTTTCTTAAAAGGCAATTAATTAATATTTTATTATTGTTTTTATTACTACTATTTACAATAGTGCTAGGCAGGGACTTAACAAGTACATAAACATCTGTGGTTTTGCATGCTGTATATTCCTTATTAACCTGTGATTCGTTAAAAATTTGGAGAGCAGCGTAAGTATTAGATCTAATAAGTATCTTGGCTCTACCTTTTCTAAAAATTTTTTGGTTTGTAAAAGCAGTTTTACTACTTATAAAATATAGTTTTCACAGTGTTGAGTTCTTTATTTAAATTTTCTGAAAATATTAGGTGGTTTTTAATCTCTTTTAGCTTAATTTGTTGTAAAAATCTCCCTATTTTGTGGTGGCCTGGCGGGTTAAAATTTTCGGCAAGTGAATTTTGCATTCCACTACTCATAGCAGAAGGTATGACCTGTAACTTCAATAAATATTTAGCCGAACAATAACCAAAAAAGTATACGATTTATCTATAAACAATAAAAATTCATTACATAAAGAGTTATAAAGAGTATAGGAAATAAAAATCTTGAATTATTGAAATTAATTACAAATCAGACGGTGTTCACTTTTTAATTTTTTTATTTTATTTGGAGTCACGTGGTGTTAATTGTTAGCCAATAGCCTCGAATCAAAAAACTACCCATTTTTGACGGTTACTGAGGTTAATATACATTAAACAGGTTAAATACGTGATGCCATTACACCGGGATCGAGAGTTGTCGTCGCACCTCCAAGGTTACTGACGCGCATACTCATGGCCGCGGATTCAATTCCCACCAATGTGACTTTCTTTCTCGGTCTTTGATGATCGCGTATTTAACCTCGCCCTCATAAATCTCATAACATTTTTCTTGTATAACGTGCCTACTACCTCAATTTTATCAGTCGGATGTGGTCGTAAAGCGTTGTATATGTTTCTGCTTCTTTTCTATTACCGATCCATTGGCGTAGACTTGATAGCTGCGCGCACCAAGGACAAGAATAAACATACGCAGTGAAAGCTTAGGCGAATAATATAACACTCTTTCTATTGCTTTCTTTGTGCAGTTCTTCTAATTAAATTTGTATACGTAAATAGAAACTAGCGAGATTACAGAAAAATTTAATAGAGTTAAATTAACAAGGGGAAAATGAAAATAAACATAACATAACTGTAAAGAAAAACTTTATTATATAGATTTTATATATATATTATAATTACAATTAGTAATAATTGCTATCATCTAAAAATTATATATCATGGTGAACTGGCGGTATTTCTGGCTAAAACATGTCTTCTGCTCTGTTTTACTTTAAGCTGAGCAAATAGTTAACGGATTGCACATTCGCAGTTCTTTAAACTGTAACCTAGCCATAAAATTTACTTGTCCAGTATGACATTGCTAAACTTTGCGCTTCAATTTTTGGTACTCTATAAGCAGTAATCTTCGTATAGTTGCGTAAATCTTTGTATACCATATCGCTCAAACTCGCAGTTCATATTTATACTCAATAATGCATGATGCAATTACTTGTAATTTTTAAAAAAAAATTGTTTTAAGGCCTCGCACTAGCTGGCTTCAGTTCTTCTGTTTTCCAAGTTCTAATTTAAATAATTAGTAAATAATTTTGTGCTGTTAGTATTCCAATATTGATTTACTAGGGAGTGCATCTATTGCAGGTTGGCTTATATCCTTAGAATCCTTCGGGATGGAGTATTGCATATTTATTTTTTTTGATTAATTATTACGTCTTAGCGGTGGCTGCGAACCTTATAAACTAAAAATTTTTCCCTTAATTTTTTTTTACCTTATTCTTTGACTATGTAATATTCACACTTGTGTATGCTTTTTAGTTGGACTTTTAACAGTATTTCTTTTACCCTCATTGGTTAAAAGAAAATTCATGAACATAGGGACTAAAACAGGCCTTAAGTACTTCTGAAGTAAATTTTTAGTTATTGCTAATTTTAATATGGTCTAATAGCAGATAAAGATACTAAATTTTTTAAAATCTTATAGAAATTTTAGTGTATTGTATTAAGATTTTATGATTTGATTTATTTAAGTAATAAACTGTTTTATTATGAAAAGATATGCCAGTTCTACTTACTTGAATGATATTCCTTTGTTAAAGAAGGGAAATACTCTTATCAAAAACTTACCTCTTAGCAATTTTCCAAACGATAACACTTTGAAATATCGGATACCTTCTTTTTGGTTTCAACAGATTCAAGATGAAGACCCTCAAATTAGGTTGTTTTTGGCTTTAGGCCATACTCCCTATCTTCCTTATCCATGTAATAGATGATTTATTTCCTTATCTTTTTTTAGAATTAAAGCTATAATACAATCTCGAAGCTTCATAGTTCTTCTTAATAATGAGAAAATCGCTGAGTGCACACGAACATTTATAGCTTTGTTGAAAAAAGAAAATAATTTAGTATGTAATAAATTTTATAGAAATCTAATTTTTTTTTCCAGAAACTTTTTTCTAATTAGTATTGCTTTTTTTATTATTATAGAATGCTTTGTGTGCTCTTCTATCTCATTTAGGGCACTGGGCAAAAAAAATACTTTCTTTAGATGATAAATTACTTTTTGAACAAACAATGGAAGCCCTAATCCATAAATATCAGTCCCTATCTACTTTAAATCTAAGTTGTTCTGAAACTACTAATTACAAAAGACTTCAAAATAAGGCAATTTCACGATTTTTAAAAGTTTTTTTAAAATTAAGTTCTGGTGCGGCCTCCAGGTGAAACGTTTTTATTTGGTTCTTAAATTTAAAATAACTGTATTAATTATTACTACAGCCAAATTGAAAAAATTTTGGAATTTGCTATGAATAATTTAAGCTCTATTGATTGTCATGTTTGCTTGAGTTCCTTGACTGTTATTGGCAGTCTTTTTTCAATTCCGGCAAGCACCGTAAACTCTGAGGATTCTTCTAAGAATTTGTTAGAAATCGATATACAAAAAGTTCTTTTTGAGTATACACAGGGAAACGATCCTCGTGTTCGTTCAGCAGCACTTCGTTGCTTAGTACAACTGGTTTTATATATTTCGTTACTACTATTATTATTACATTTTACCGCAATCTCCATCTCTTGGATCTTAATTTTTTTTTGTTATAATATTTTTTCGTTTACTATTAAAAATTTAATTTTTAAATTACCGTAGAAGTAAATTTTATACCGTTATTAATTTATATATTTAAAATTATTAATTTTAAAGATTTATAAGTATTGTTATGAAACTATTACCTTATTTTGTAAATAAATTTTATATACTATATTATATATAAGTGTTGCCGTCAGTTAACTAATTCTCAATATCGTTTGCAATTAAAAAATCTGTATGAAAATAGATCCAGCATACACCGCAAACTTTTTTATATGCTCAAGCTTAAATTCTTGCTCTTCTTAGTAGCTTAATATATATATTTTTCACAATTAATAATTTTTTTCTGCTTAACGAGTGCTCACTATCTATTAAAAAGTATAAAATTGCAAAGTTTCAATGCTAGTATGGACAATTTAACGAAGTAGATCCGCCCGTGCAATTTATACATTAGTAGCTTTTAAAGTAGGTAGCCGATTTTCAGCAGGGCATAACATAAAAAGGATTTTATGGATCCACAAGATGAAAATTTGATTTATAACTAAAGCAAATTTATTTCTTTAAAAAGAGGGGCAACACTTTAGAAATTTTCTTTCGCACGTTAGTACTAAGTAAAGAGAGTGGAGGCGTAACGTCAGAAAAGTAATTAAAAATAATTAGCCTTCTTACTGAGTAAACAACGCTATATGACTTGAAAGTAAACTACATATTATTATTATTGATCGCCGTTTTACCGTACTTATACTGCAATCTGTTCTGTGAGGGTTTACTCGAGATTTTTAGTTTTTTCTTTAGTTTATATATTAGATAAGGAAACAAGGTTTAAACTTTTTTAATCTTACACAAGTTATATATCATCTGTTTTAGGAAAGTGTGCGACTTACAAATATAATTATAATTATAAAATTTTAAGGAGTAAATTTTTTATAAATTTTTTTAAAGTAACGGAGTTTTGAATAATAAATGGTTATTACTAATGGAAAAAAATTAGTTTTTTTCTTGTTAACCAATTTTTGAAAAGTTAATTATATTTTAGAAAGACCGAGGCCTTGTTTATAATCCGATATACTATCCTTCTGTGCTTCATTCCCTTTGGTGAATCTTCTATACGCGTGTAACAATTATAAGTTTTATCAAGAGCTGCCCATCCATTCTTAGCGATTATTACGAATCTGTCCGAATGGAGTCCATGCGGCTGCTTCGGCACTATTCCATAATGTATCCCAATCACCACGTGTGTCTTAGAGCGGACGGCAGCGTTCATGGCGTGGAGTGCATTACTCAAGTTAATTTTTTAAAGGAAAAAGTTAGTGAAGAGCGTTCTTTTTTGAAAGATGATGTTTTTTCCAAGGTTTTATGCTACGAGTGTATTTATGTTTTATTATTGTTTATTTTTATTTTTAAAAATAGTTATGCAATATGGTGAACGACCCAAACTATAGAATACGTACTTTTGCCTTTGAGCTTCTAGCAGACTTTGAGGCTGTCGCTGGCGAGCTTCTTATACAAACTTTGGGTTTATAGTGAAAACTATACTAGTAATAATAGAAATATTAATTTTTTTTTATAAATAAAAAAAAAAGATAAGAAGGTTATGTCTCACTTAAAAAAAAGAAAGTCGGCACATGAAGAAAGAAATGAAAGCAAACTTTCTATTAACCCTGAAGGAGATGTAGAGTTCAATCCCGATGAACTTATTTTAATGAACAGGTTCCTAACTAGAAGTAAAAGCAAGAAGTTGATCTTTTTTAGTTATCCTTCTTTTACCAATAAGATTAATATTCTAATAACTTCATTATAAATTTTATACAAAAGTAACTTGTAGTAGTAGACTTTTCTTTAGTTATCTTGTTAGAATGCGGTATACTAATTTTTACTATATTTGGAAATGATAAGGGACGCATGTGGAGCTTTTGTGTTGGGTTTGGAAGATGAGATTTCAGTGGTTCGCTCTGCGGCCGTGGAAGCTATTTATAAGTTGAGCCCATTAGACAAAGTTATTTTCATTTATTATAATTAATATCATTATTATTTAATATTATATGAAAGGAATTTGGAAGAAAAGCTGTTGATTTTTTAGTTGATATGTTTAATGATGAGATTGATGAAGTGCGCTTGAAAGCCATAGTTTGCTTGAGTAAAGTACACAATTTTCTTTTATTATAATATATATTTCGCTTCTCTCGTTATTCCAATGATTCTGATTGGTTAGATGACAAACATTCTCGAATATTCCCGCGAGCAACTTAATATTATTCTTGGCGTGCTGGAAGAAGAGCGCCAGTTTATCCGCCACGCATGCCACAAGTTCCTTATTTTTTTATGTCCTTAAACATTTATTATATTTTTTTCTTATTATTTTATAGGCTGATTGCTGTTATGGAACTTGAAAATTTGGACTGTTTGAAAATCGTTTTAAATAGTATTTTTGTGAATTTGAAGAAATTTCCACGGGACTGTCACAGCGTCTGGTTTATTATTATTATTATTATTATTATTATTATTATTATTATTATTATTATTATTATTATTATTATTATTATTATTATTATTATTATTATTATTATTATTATTATTATTTATAACTATTTCTATTACAAACAGGAAAGCACTCAGTATTCTTGGTAGAAAACACTCTGCTTTTGTTGAACTCCTTTTTGAAGTATTTTTATTTTGCAAAAAGAATTTTAATAAAACCATTAATTTTTTTTCCAGTATTTATTATGCATAGACCGTCGCTTTGCTTGTACGGAGCCCAACGTTGATGATCTTGATTATGTTACAAAAATTATTATTATATTTAATGCTGCAAAGTCGTTACACTTTTCATCTTATCTGCTATGGTTAACATCTTTACTGCATGAAAAATAGAGAAAACCCAACCATCCTGTCGCTGTGCCCGTCGCACACTTTCAAGCACTATTTATACCTAAAAGATCAGCTTCCGCAGTTCTTCTCAACAGACTTGTGCATAAAATATCTCGAATTTTTTGAACCTATTTTGGCGCCGGAATGTGCTATACAAGTGCCAGTTGTCGGGTTCAGTGAAAATGATGAGTCTTTTGAAAGCTATTTAGGGCGAGTGGACGAAAAAATTTGCGCTCTTTTTAATTTTGAAAAACCGCCGAATTTTGATAATCTCCAACGCGTGTTCTTCATGATATTTATGTATTTTGTTATAATTTTTATAACAGTTTATTATTAATTGTTTCTTATTTATAAGCAGCCTTCATTTTTATCGTAAAATAAAGTAATGTTTTATATCACATTATAGCTTATTAAAGGAAAAAAGTTTCTCTACTTTATTTCATTATTTTTTAACTTTATATTATAATTATTTATTGTTATTTATTATTCAGAATAAAAAATAACTTTATGAATACTATAAGTTATTTTTAACTCTTATTAAAAAATACATTTATTGCTATATTTTGTTTTGTTGCTGACTTCTTACGGCCATCATTATTATAATATATTTACTAAAATTATAATCAACACCTTTAGTGATTTATATATTTTGTGATTGGCTATTATATTTTTATTGTAAACCATTTTAATCTTCTCAATTTTTTATTTTTGTAATATATTTTTATTTTATATTTTTTATAATAGTTAAAAAATTTTATTATAATTGTAATTTAGTGTATAACTAAAAATTACTTTTATTATTATCAATTTTTAAATTTTATATTGTTTATTAATATAATATTTACTTTTTATCTGCCATAATTTTTTTATATTATAAATTTGAATAATGAATGTATTCATAAAATTGCTATAATTTTTATTCTTCATTTGTGTATTATTTTATATATTTTAGCTTCCATGTCTTTTTATGAAATATTATATAATTTATTATTATGTTTTTTATATATATAATAATTAACTTATTTTTTTCAGGAGCATAAAAAATTCAGTGAAGCGCTTTGCTCAACATTCGCATCTACTTCATTTTTATTCGACTCTTCTTCTTTCTTACCATTATTTGTTTAAAGTATAAACTTTATAATTATGAACAATTTTTTTTATAAAACTTATTTTTTTATAAAAAACTTTTTAGTTAACAAAGTGATATTGTTTATCTTAAAACTTATTATATAATTATGGTTTTGTAAAGTAAAAGAAATTTTTTTTAAAAAATAAAAAAAGTTTAATAAAGGAATAATATGAAAATTTATTATTATACTGAAAAATATCAAAATGTTTGAAAAAATAATAATATAATTATGAATAAAATAAAACTAGAAACTTAAAAAATATATATAAAATTTTTATTTTTTTTAATTATTATACTTTTTTTATGAATAAACTTGTGAAGATATTATAAAAAAATTAAGAAACTTTTAAAATATTTTTTATTTTTTATTAACTTTATACTTATTATTATTACTATTACTATTATATTATTATTATTATTTATAAACAATATTATAAAAGTTTATTATATTCCAATATGTATATTATATAATATATTAAAATATATATATAACTTTTCTTTTTTATTCATTGTTTATATAATTTATTAAATATACGTTTCTGCTTATTTTTTATATTAAAATTTGTTTAAAAAATTCTAATCGTTTAGATTATTTTTTATATAAATAAATATTTTTTTAAGAGGATATATTATATTATGATTCTTTATTATTATACTTAAATTTTTTTTTATTTGCTTCTAATATATTTATATATCGTTTTTCTATTTTTCTATTACATTAAAAAAATTTTAGTATTTCTTATCTGATAAATATTTTGTTTATTGTTATAATAATAACTATTATAAATAAATATTTTATATAAATTGCTAAATTTTTTTTAATATTTATATTATAATTTAAATTTTTTTTTCATATTTTTTACATTATTTTTATTTTTCTTTATTACACCAAAAAAATTTTTTAGTTTTTTTGTAAAGTATATATTTTATTTATTGTTATAATAATAAATATATAATTCTTATATATTATTTTTCTTAATATTTTTATTCTAATTTATATATGTTTTTTATTTTTTCATTACTTTTGTTAAGTTTTTTTAAAATTATTTTTTTGCTTTATTATACTATAATGATGTTATTAAGTATTTTTTTATTAAGTAAATATTTTTTTTATTAAAATAAAAATATTTTATAAAAATTTAATATTTAAAAAAAAATATTATATAAATTTTGTTAATATTTTTCTTATAACTAAATTTTTTTATAAATTTAATAGTATTTTTTACTTTTTATATTTATTTATAATAAATTTTTTATAAATTTTCTAATTTCTTTTTTGTTACTCCCTTATTAACTTTTAAATTTTTCTACAAAGAAATATATCATAAATTTTTCAAGTGTTTATTATTATTATTAAAAATATATTTTTTATATTCTGTTACTTTTTATAATATTTTTTTATTTTATATTATCAGAAAGAGAAAACTCTTTTTACTATTACGTTTGTATCGTCAATTATTAATTACTTTTTGTATTATTAAAAAATATATTTTTAATGCTTTGTTTTATTTACGAAAAATTGAACTTTTTATAAATATTTTATTAATACTAAAACTTTATCTTTTTTTTATATATATTTTTTATAGTATTACCAAAACTTCCTTTACTTTTATTCTATTATTATAGGAAAACTTATCTAATATATTTTTGTCGTAAAAGTTTTTTTATATATTTTTCATAGTAAAAGCCAAAACAATAACCTTTTTTAATTTTTTTGTAGGTTTTAGCTGATTTTAATAAAAGTTTTTTTGTGGAAAGGTTTGTTTATTTACTATTTATTATATTTTTTATCAGTAAAATATATTTTTTTATTAAAAATAAATTCAACTAAAAAAAAAAAGCTTTACAAGTTTTATAAAGTTTTCTATAAACAAAATTTTTATATATTTTTAAAAACTAAAGCAGTTAATAATAATTTTATAATTACTTTATAGTTCATTTACGGAACTATTAAAAAGTTTAATTTATAAAACACACGAGCTTGAAACTCTTTTCAACGGCTTGTCTGTGGAAATATTAATAAAAATAAAAAGCTTACGCTTATTTGCTTTATTTATTTTCATGTCCTTAACAATAAAAAGGTTATTATTATTACTATCATTATTATTATTATCATTTTTATAACAAGTATTATTAAAGTTTCAGCCCGAGTGAATTCGATATGCTCTCATCTTTCCTTGTAAAGATTGAAAGTTTAAAAAAAGAAACTCAACAGCAAGCAGGCGAATCCCAAGAATTAAAATTTTACGACAAGTGGATTCAGACAGTGCGCGATTGGTCGGAATTTCTTATGAAAAGAGGCCATGAAAATAATGAAAAACTTTTTTCTTTCATTTGTGTAATTATTATTTGTTGATTATTTTATATAATTATTTATGACGAATTTTTTAATAAATATATCATACTTGTGTCATTTTTTTTATGTAGAAATAATATTATGCTTGTAGATTGACGAAATATTTAATTATTCACAACACCAAATTTTTGTTTCGTTATATTTTATCGTTAACAATTTTTTTAATAAATTTTATATAATTTTTTTTTAGAACTATTTCCCCCCTTTAATAACAAAAGTGGTCTGTACTTCTAAAGTTTCTTGCCGGAATTTATTAGTGCGCCTTCCCTATTCAGAGGTACAAAAAAATTGGCTTTTTTAATTTATTTTATTTTATTGGTGATTTCTTAATTAGGATTCGTTACCATATTTAGATTTATTTAATTTATAGTTTATTGATTGGCTATGTAAAAGAGAATTTAATATGATTACATCAAATAATTTCTCTAACACATTAATTAATTTTTTTATTACAATTTTCATTTAAAAAATATATATTTCGTTGGATATTATAAAGAATTTTTTTAAAAATAAAATATATTACTTTTAACTATTCTAAAATTATATACTATTTACGATCTCTATATAAAAAAAATATAAAAAATATTTAAACTTTCTTTGTATATTATTTATATCGGGATATATAATATATTTTACTTTTTAATTATAATAATTTACTTTCATCTAAAAAATTATATTATCTATTCTAATTTTTTTTAACAAATAAACTATTTTACTTTTAATTATTATAATAAAATTATTAAATAATTCCAATTTTTATATAAAAATAATCTTTTTTCTTTAAAATTATATAAAGAATCTTTTTTTAATTGAATTATTTTCCTTTTAATTATTATTATACTATTATTTACTTTTTACAATTTTCGTATTAACAACTTTAAATAATTTTTTATAGAATATAATTAGTAAGAACTTTTTTTTACAAAGTATTTTACTTTTAACTATTATTATATAATTATTAACTTTTTACAATTTTTGTATTAAAAATTCTTATAATTTTTTTTAAAATATAATTTATAGTTATAGAAATTTTATTTTAAATTATTATTATATATATTTATTAAGTAAATATTATTTATATCAAAAAAAAATTTTAAAAATTAAAACTTTTTGTTCTTATACAATTATATATATTATATTTTAACTTTCTACTATCTTTTTTTAAAAAAGTCAAAATACTTTAATACTTTTTTTGGAGAATTCTTTCGTATTTTATAATATTTTTATAAAAGTAAAATATTTTTTTAAAATTTATTTTTGATATATAATTTTCTAATTTTGTTTTTCATATGCACTCTTTAATAATATTTTAAATTATTCATATTAAAATTTAGTTTATACATAAAATATTATATTTATATTATATTTATATTGTTATTATTATCTTTAATTTTCTATGTAAATATTGATTGTTAAACAATTTTTATAAATAAAATATTTTACTTTAACTTTATTTCGATTTTTTTATATTTATAAAATATTTTTATATAATAATTTTGTTTAAAATAATATTTACTGTTTATATACTTTTTATATTATTCTTCTTTCTTTACTATATTTTCCCTATAAAGTTTTTTTATGTAAATATATATTTTACTATACTTTTAAATTTTTTCATATAAATATATTTACTTTATATACACACAATATATTTTACTTCTAATATTTTCCATTTTATTATTATTTACTTTTTTTATATTTATATAAATTTTTATAATAATTTTTCGTAATTATTTTTTTTATATTCAAAGTTTATTATATAGAAATTATTTACATTTACTTACTTAACTAAATTTATATATAATATATATACTTGTTTATATACCAAAAATACAAAATAAAAATCTTCTATGACTTTTTTTATATACAAATATATTATGTTCTTTTCCTTTTCTATATGTTATATTTACTTATTCATTTTACTTTATTTATATACATATTTTTTTATTTTCACAATTTTTTGTAAGTCTAGAGTAAATATTATTTTTGTTATTAAAAGTAAATTTTTTTATTATACTTTTAGTGTTATAAAATTTTCTTTGTTAATTACTTCATATTTATAGTAAATATACTCTATAAACTTTATTATATTTATTTATATATTTATACTAAATTTTTTTTTTTTTGATAAAAGTAAGGTATCTTTTACTTCTTATTTTAATAAATTTTTATATTTTCTATTGGATATACTTATTATTATATACTGTTTTTATTATTATTTTATAGTTTATTATTTATTATTATTATTATAATAGAACTAAAACTTTTACATAAAACGAAGAAAATATTATTATTAACTTTTATCCTTTTTAATGTACTTTTAGAAACACGCATACCCCGGTCAACTACCAATCGTTTTGCAACTCGAAGCCACTTTTATAGATTTACTTCGACCTTGTGACGTTTTTTTTCAGGTTATTATAATTTTTTATGTATATATTTTCATATATATATTTCTTTATTATTATTATTATAAACTTTTATATAGTTTTTATTGGATATTAAAAAAATTCTTATAAATAAATAAATACAAAAATTGATGATATTAATATATTAATTATAAAAAGATTGAAATCTCTGATAAAAGTCTGCTCCTTGTAAAACCTGAACTTCATTCTTTTAGAGCTTCGAAAAGTATAAATAAATATAAATTTCTGCAGGAAATTCAGCTTCAACTTATTTCTTCTACTGGTTTCTTTATTATTATTATTAGTAGTATTACTATTATTATTATTAATATAATTATCAATGAAGAACACTTCCAGCTTGCTATTCGGCCTGTACTTAAAAGTGCATCTTCTAATAGTGAAGGTGATAAAATTTTATTATTTTATTATTTTTCGAATATTTCTTAAATTTTAAAAAGTTTATATAAACTTTACTATTGTTAATATTAGTGTTATAAGTTTATATAAAAAAATATTAAAGTTTTTATACAATTAATATAAATTTATTAATAATAATTATTTATTATAATTTGAAAAACGTTAAAAAAAACGTTAAAAAGTTTGAAAATATTTATATATTGAAATAAAAAAATTTATGCGGATTTCTTTTTAAAGTTAGCAACTTTTGTTTATTTTATAGAGAAGTTTTAAAAAGTATATATATATATAACGTTTTATATTTTATAAATATTATAGTATTTTTTTTTTAAAAATAAATATTTATTTATAAAAAAGTATTAAGGTTACTCTTTTTAATAGTAATTCAGTTCAATAAATGTAATAAAATATATTACAAAATAAAAGAATATTTTTTATCTAATAACTACAGTAATTCTTTAAACTAAATAAATATAAACAATGTAAAGTTGATTTACTATTATAATAATAAATATATTAGCGAGTATATAAAGAAAAGTAAATGATATAAATTTTATTAAAACTTTTTGAAAAAAGTAAGCAAACTTTATTATTATTTACGCGAATATTATTTTTATAAAAGTTTAATCTAATAATACTTTAACTTTTGTGAAAGAAGTTTTAAAAAGTTTATTTTTATAAGTATTATATTATATTGAGTTAATTATTATTATTATTAAATAAAATAAAAATATTATATATTTATCAATAGTAGCAAAAAAATTTTATATTAATAGTTCTGGTAAATATTATTTTTTTTAAATTTTTTACTAATAAACAATTTTTTTTAAAATAATAAAAATTACATTTACGTAAGTTATTAAAAGTAAATTTTTTAATAATATTCTGAAAGAAATTCCGAACTTTTAAACTTTTATACTATAAATAAGAATATTTTAATAATACAATTTTGTAAAAGTTAAGCTTTTCATCGTTAAAATATAATTTTGTATTTATTCTAATTATTTAATGGAAATATCATTTTTTAATAAAAAGTTTTGTTAATAAAACATAAAATTTAGTAATATTAATAATAACATTCATGATATAAAGAAAATAAAATAATAATAATAATAAAAACTTCGAAAGAAAAAATATTTTATAATTTCCTTAAAAAAGGTATACTTTCTTATTAAAGTTTTTTACAATCACAAGACTTTTCGGTCCCCGAGAGCCACGTGGCCTTTGGGGAGCCTTATTTTCTGGACGTCCATCCCTTCCCTCCTGCGAAAAACGCTACAGTTTTTGGGAATCGTTAGCTTTTTTCAAAATAAAAATAATAAGTTTTTAGGAAATTTTATTATTTTGCTTATTATTTTTTTAAGAAAAATTTTTATTACTTTTCGTATTTTATTTATTTTTTTTTTATTAACAAAAAAATTTTAATTATTTTGCTAACTTATTATTTTTTCTTAACAGAAAATATTTTTTCGAAAATTCTAATTTGTTTATTTACAATTTTTTTTAAAAAAATTATTACTTTGGTTTTCATGTTTTGTTTATTATTTTTTTAATAAAAAATTTTTTTTATGATAATTTTATTTGTTTATATACAACTTTTATAAAAATAATTTTTACTTTTCTTATTTTTTTTATTTATTCCTCTTTTATAAAAAAATTATTACCAAAAATTTTTTATTATATAAATATTAATTATTATATGTAATAATTTAATATAAAGATAAACTATTGGCTCATTTTTTTTTGTAAGTTTTTTTTTAGTTTAACAATAACTTTAATTACTAAAAATTTTATTTCTTGTATAAAATTTTTAGAATTTATAATTTTTTATTTTATATATATTCGTAAATTCTTTACTTCATATTTATTATTTGTTCAAATATCATTTTATAAACAAATTTTTTTCATTTCGGTTTTTTAAAACTTGAATTATTTTTTTATATTTTAATTTTTTTTATTAATACGAACTTTTTATTATTTTTGTATAATTATTTTCTACAATGAACTTCTTTGGTTTATTTTTTCTAAAATTCTATTTTTTTTTATTTGTTTTATGTTTTTTATTTTTTATTAATTCATTATTTTAAAATTTTTTTTTGTTTTTAATTATAAAATAAATTTTAGATATTGATTATAAAACTTAATTACTAATTCTAAAGAATATATTTTATATGTATTTTTATTTACAAAAACTTAAATTCGTCATGTTCATTTTTTTTAATACAATATACAATTCTCGTTTTATTTTTGCATGAATTTATTATAAAATGTTTTTTTTTTAATATCTAATATTTAACTTAAAATTAAAAAAATTTTCTTTTTTACTTCAATTTAAAAAAAAATTTCTTTTTTTACTTTGTTAATAACTAATTATTTTTATAAAAATTATTTATATTCATTTAATATTTTTATTTACTTTTCTCAATAGTGATTGTGTAATGTTAATTTTTATAATGCTTTTTTAATTTAAAGGTAAGTATAATTAATATATACTTTTTTAAAGTTTTTATCATGTTTGTTGAAAGTTTATAAAAATGTACGGTTCCATTTTTTTTTTAAAAATATTATTTTTTTTAATCTCCAAAAATGTATTTTCATTTGTTAAATTAATTTTTTTTAAAAAAAAATTACTATTTTTGCAATTATTTATAACTTATAAAGATTATTGTTTTTAATTTATAATCATGTTAACTGTATAAGGCGAGAAATAATATTTCTGGATATCGTTCTTTTGAAAAGAAGCGGTTAAAGGGAATGCAGCTTAAATATTATATTTTAATTACTAATAAAAAAGTTTTTAATAATTTTTTATTATTCACATGTTTTCTTTTTTTGTAAAAAAAAAAGTTGGCGTTATAATTTTTTTATAAAGTTTGTTTCATAATAAAAATTTGTTATACGACGCTCGTGCTAAATGATTTTGTTAGAAAAGTCAAGTTTACTTTCTTTATGATTTATAAAAAAATGTTCTTAAGGAAACTTTTTTGTCCGAGCCAAGTAGTTGTCTTCCGATACGCATTAAGAAACCATTCACTGGCAGTTCCATCTATAGACTTTTTATAAAGTTATTTTTATATAACTTTATTATTTAATACAATTGAATGACTCGGAAAAAAAAGTTTAGGAAGTTTTGAATTATAATTAATTAATTGAAGTTTAGCTGAGCTTTCTATAATCTAACAGCTTGTAACTTTTACAAGTTTCACTTCTCAAAACAACTCTCCTTATATATATTTTTTTATAATTAAAAAAATAAATATTAATAATAAATAAAAACCGGAATTATTAAATAACTGAATCAATAAAAGCATAATCTTCACATCCTCATGATAAAAATACTTCAAAATACATAAAAAATGGCGTAAGCTAACATGAATTCTTCGTAAGTTTTAATTCTACGTCGCTCTATTTATATGCAAAATAAAATACTTGTATGCTTAATATCTTTATTAATCGTCTGAAGGGTAAATTTTTTACAATTTCGTTTTCCTAAACTTCTTGAATAGTTCCAATTTCGAACTTTTACGCGTAGAAAAAAAATACTTTTTAGATAAGAACTGTTTAAATATGTGAATATAAAACCTTTTCATTATAAAAAAGTGCATAAAAGTATTAAATATAGTAAAAATAAATTTATTTAGTAACACTCACCAAATAGGAAATCAATAGACACTGTTTAGCTTTTCTCTTTAAAGCTTTTCCTCTTTCTTGAAATTTATAGTTTAGGTATATTCTTATACGCACGAGTGCTCTTGTAATGTATATTTTTATTTCGTATTATATTTCCTGCCACACGTTTTGTCGATTGACGAGTACAAAAAAATGAGCTGAAAGTATATAAATTAAGTTGTTGCGGTTTATTGTAGACAACAGAGAAGTTCTAATGTTCAATACATACAAAAGTGCATACTCAATGGCTAAAAAGAAATTCCCTTTCTCCAGTTTTAAAACCTTTTAATTTATTTATATCTTCTTTTAAAATTTTAAATAAACTTCTACGTATTTCAGTAAAATTTGTTTTCGTGGTATTACCTAAAAAGCCCTTACTATTTAATAGCTTTAGTTCGGCTTTGCTCTTTTTAAGATTTAACAATTCTTGTTTTATTCAATAGACTTTATATATATATATCCGGTAAGGTTTAAGTCATACAAGGATCACTTCTATTATTAACAGACTTATCACTGTTACGTAGAATATAATAATCCCACTGCTGCAACAACTGAGAGATTTCATCCACTTTAATGAAGAATTTACTTTTTAAAATCGTTTGGTGAACAATATACCACAAGTTCATAGAGTAATAAAATAGGCTTTACTTACCTTTTTTTTCTTTTATTAATTTGAATAAATGTATTAATGTTTTATAACTGTATTACCTTCATATACTCGTAACAACAATTAAGTGTTCAGTTTTTTACCATGGATTTTTCTTTTTTCACTTCTGTAACAACTCTATATCACCCCGTTAAAAAGAAAGCATATTACTCACTTAGCATAGAAGACTAAATATTAATTTTGTTGCATAGTCTTAGCGCCTTTATATAGATTTTAGATTGGGCCTTGTAACCGGCACAAAAAGCATCTCTTCTAATTTGTGGTTTAAGTCAGTACTGCGCCTACAAATTAATTGTACTTATCTTAAACTCGTAATTCAAAGTTTAATTAATACGCTTATCTACCGGAGTGAGCTTTTAGCTTGTTTGTTTGTCTTCATCTATCTGGTTGGTTTCTGTATACGGTAAAAAGCTTAGCTGAATGATTTACAATAAATTTTATTTAATATAAATTACGATACCACCCCCTTAACAAACTCCCTAATCAGTCATGCAGAGTAAAAAACTTATTAACACAGCTATATAACAAATAACATCTATATAAGTTATCAGCGGTTTACCTTCCCTTATAAAAGAGAATAAATTGTTTTAACTTTAATGAAATTTTCTTAATATTTTATTTTAAAGTTTAGTTGTTACATTTGTTATATATTTCCTCTCAGTAGATAGGTTATAAATCATCTATTAACAAACTGAAACCTTTTAAATCACTATAATTATAGCCCTCAATTCCTTTGTCACTTTGAGTAATTACTTATAAACGAAAGTTTTCCCACTCAATGTCACAATAGAATTTTAGTATTATACTTACGCCACTTTTTAAAATGTTTACTTTTACAACCAATTTACAGAAGAGGTATAACTAAAAATTTATATTGCCCTAACTATGGTTAGGATGTAATCATACTTAAAATTTCTTTTGGGTACTTAGGAAACCCGATTTGTAGATAAAATTGTTTTTGGTTAAAAAACAAATCTCCACTACAATCTGCTTTAGTAGGAATCTTAAAAGTATAGAAGATTTAAAATATAAAACCATTTCTCAAAAATATATAAATCTACTTTAATTATTTCAAATGTTACTGTATGCATATTTATGACAATATTGATGACGATACAAAAACACAGGGATAATAAAACAAAAGTTACTAACCTTTAAAACGGATTTTTTAGTTTTAGATATTTACTAATGCTACACTAAGATGAGATAAATATAAAAGACTAAAGTTAAAAAAATTAACTTCTACAGGTTACAAGCTTTAAAATAATTAACAAAGAAACTCAAGCTCCTATTTTACTCCCTAAGCAGCCTACTATTTAAAAAACTTTAATATAACCTGATGATAGATTTTACGTAGCGGACAACTATGCTTTGCCTACCTTTCTGTACTCTTATTGTATCCGCGAATCACTTAGCTAATACGACTCCTGGATACTTTTAGCAGACGAAGAATAAGACCATGAATGGTCCCTTGCTTTATAGATATAATAAAAGTTTACTTTTACTCACGATTTTGATTTTAAGCCTAAATTTTTATATCGTGCTCATCCTCTTTATTAAAGTTAGATGAAAAATTAGGGAGATGGTTAATTTTTTTTTTATCTTAACGTCACTATGTTTTGTAAAGCGGTTCAATGCGATTATTTACTGAATTTGGGTAGTTTGGTTAAATTTGCTTTGTCAGTCTGGATCCTTGTAGTTTACATCTGAAATTTATATTATAACTTTGCTAACGCTAAGAAGCCCTCCATTTTTTTTAAAAAAACAATAATCTAGTCTTAGAGTTAAAAAACATAACGCAAGCTGACACCCTTAAAAATAAAAAGGCAATCAGTACTCACCAACTAGAAGCAAAGTACGAGTAACTGAAGTGTATAATATATCTGTATCTTTTTTTATATAGAATTAGTTCAAAAAATTTATGCTTATTTATTGGCTCAGTTTAACTTATTTAATCGAAATGTTTGTTAAATTGACACGAAATAACATTTTTGATGGGCCACTTTTTAAACAGTTTCTTTAGCCATTCATTGCCTTTAGTGTTAGCTAGATTGGTATTTTATTATTAAGGATTTCTTCTGACTACCCTCCTACTATAGATGGGTGTACTTGGTTTTCTTTGTCTGGTTGTGTAAAGTTATTCCCTTATTATACTGTAGGTACAGGAGTTGTGTGCTTTCATTTGATTTTTTTTTGTATAATTCTGTTTGAATTTTATACATTAGTTGGTAATCCGAGTTGCAGGCCGCTTTCTATTGTACCAGATTTACAGGAGACAGTTTTTCAATATAAATTATCCCGAGTTCAATCTTTCGCGTCCTTCATTGCTATTTCCGGCTTCTAATCTGACTCAATAAATTATTTTCAAAGTTAAAAACTTGGCTGTTACGGTTACAAGCTTTTGCAGGTTGCACATGAAGCCAGCTATTAAAACTATTTACAAGCCCTTGACAAAGGGTGATGTAGTAAATGTCATTTCACACTTGCAAATTAATTACATGCATGAAATCTTCTTGAGGTAAGGACTTGATATACTCACTCTGATGATATGTACTTCATCTTAAGTGGTTTATTTTCTAATCAATAAGGTAAAGGTCCTACTGATTTGAACAATGTTGTCACAGACTTTTGGACTGTCTACACTGTCCACCTCGATTACCAGTACGTAATGTAATTTGCCGTACTTCGTATAGACACACATGGCTTATGTTATAAGAAATATAAATTAACCAAAAATGACCGCTTGGCAGTTTCCGTAAAGAGCTTTGATCAATTTGAGAATGCTTGCCCTTACCCACACCTCACTGTATTATATAGAAACCTATATAATTAATATTATTGTGCTTATAAAAATACTTAAAATCAAACTGCATTGATCTCTTTATCTGTAACTATTAAGAAAAGTCCGTCAATTATCACAAAATATTCTATTTCTTTTAAGAAAACAGCACGTGGTAATTGACCCTTTGCGACTTCACAGTCTCTTCTATTTGATTGTAATATGAAAATATACGAGCTTCTCATTAAACTTCTTCTTCAGTGAGAAAAAACCACCGTTAGAACAGATGGGTGTTAAGGAGATTGTAGAAAAAGAAGGTACCTTATAAGTTCCTGATTTGAAGTTTCAAGGAGAAAACAAGTTTTTTTTTGTAGACTTAATTTCAGGTTCCTCTACTTCCATTAATCACGACATTGATGGTACTATCCGGGTCACTTTACATAATACATATAAAAGTGATGTTATTAATTTTTTTAAAAAAAAGTTAGAAATGTTCTATTTATTTTAAACTTTTAGGTAATCAATATCCGGAAAGTAACAAAGATTCGGGGCTTCCATGTTCGGAAGTTGAAGTCAATGAGAACGTTGTTGAAGCCCGTCAACTTTTACTCGAAGGGCGTACTTATTTTCAA